TCTGCAGATCCCGCAGATGCAGCACATCCCGGCTCTGTGCTAGAACCACCTTGGTAAGTGGTGGCCTTTGGCTGCTTTGGGACGAAGCCATTCCCTGATTTCTAATCACAGCCTGTCCCAAGGTGTTCAGCTGCTCTTTCACCTCTTGGCACCTCAGCACACATGAAACTTAAAGCCAAACAGTCCCAGAACTGACTATCAGCAAAGAACAGTTCTCTTTCAGGACCTTTCTTTCAGGACCTTATTCTCTTGCATGATCCATCCTCTAACAGGGGGGTAGGGGCCACTCTGACTCTGTGTCTACAAAACTCGTCAGCATGAGTTTGTAAGACACTTAAGCATTTCTTTCATTTTTCTTTTCAGTCTGCCTGGAGAGTTTTGTTTCTCCTTCATATCCTGAAACAAACTTTTAAAGAGATGAAGCTCTTTCAGCAACTGTGTATTCTTAGCTTTGAGAGCAATACTTCTGTAAACTGGGTGACTAGTCACTATTTTGTTCATCTTGAAGAGTGCTTTTGTTGTTTCTTAAATTAGTTATCATTGATATTGGACTGTCTTATTTGTAGTTCTTTATGAACTTCCTTCTTCTGTAGTTTCACCATCAACTTGAACTAGCATAAAGTACTGCTGAATGAAGTGCCGCTGCCTAGTCAACTACTTCAGGCTGGCAGAAGCTTCCTTGCACCTTTGAAAGCGGAGTTACAGAATATATTAAATTTGTGCTAGCTTAAACTGATCACAAAACTATGCCACTAGGTTGGTCAGTGCTATCTGAACAATCCATATAGGCATGATGGTGGTGCTGTGAATCAAGCCATAGCCTTTAAATTATTTTTAAAGACTGCTATTTTCTATTTAAAGACTGCTAATTATAAAAGCAATTAGTGATTTAGCTGAAGAATTCAGTTATCACTTTCCTCTTCAGGCAGCCTAAATTGTCTTTCATGAAACATGGGAAAAATCTCTATTGTGTGCTGAAACCTTGTTGCTCATGTTGGTTACCATCACTGTGTTCCTGTATATCTTATGACATATGTATGTGGCATCTGTGATGGTACTGCCAGGCCCAAATAATCATTTAATCTCATTTTATTTTTCTCAGCCTACTTCACAACCAGACTCTAATCACTGGATCATGACAAAGCTCGCTAGAATCCGCCCTACAGCAGAAGAGTTGCAGACAATCCAGAAATGTTTCTCTTTAAGAATGTGCTCTTTTGTCTCTGATTCACTGACAACGAGAATCATGGAAAAGAAGAAGAAAATGAAGAGAAAAGGTAATGCATTTTTCCCTTAAGTGGTTCTTTAATATAATAGCAAAAGTGAGACTGGAGGAAAAGCAACAGTGTTAGGCTACCCATAGAAACATGCACATGGGAATACTAAAACAGGAGAAAAAATAACATGCTAAGATGATAAACTCGACTCTTATTTTTCTTGGTGCTTTTTTGTGTACCTGAAGTTGTTGGCTAATTCTTGGAATGAAACTGTATTTATACTCACAATTCTTAAATGCCTACTGCACTGCTGAAGATAGGTATAGAGAATTAAAAAAATAAAAATTCCTGAATCATAAAGAAAGTGGTGTGACATCTGTCCATAGGCAATTACTAGGCTTATAGTCTCTTCAGTTCCTGTGAATATAGCCATTCTACAGCACAGCATTAGCTGGGACTAGAAACTATGATCTTCTGTTAAAATGTATGTATTTAAAATGACAAACAAAAGGTGGGGGCTTTCACAGTTGTGTTCATGGCATGTTACCTAGCTCATAGCTGTCATTACATTTTTTAAATGAATAATGCAGATTCAGGACACCATATGGAGCTTTCTTTGTTCTTCTGTTATCAGAAATTATCAGAAATTGATCGCAGTCTCATTTAAGGAGCACTAAGATAAGTGAGGTGCTATATTTTTGCTCTTTAGAAGGCTTGGAGATGCCTGTGGTTTGATACAAAACAGGTTTCATGCTGCTGATAATAGCTTTTTGCATGGTTTCTCTCAGAAGAAAAGTAGAAACTGAGCTCAGTCCTGAAAGTTGCAGTGGGAGACAGCAGTCTTGGCAAAAGGACTGCAGCAGATTTCATCTTGGATACAAAATCCTTGGTTCTGGCTTTCCAGCTATCTGATTACCTTAGTTGTGGGTGAGTGTTGCATATTCTTATAATCAATAATACTCAAAATAATCATAGTTACTGAGTATTGGTTAAGTTGATGGTGATCTAAATAACTTTAATAACTTTACTTTCCAGCTTGCCTAGTGTGTGCAGGAAGAACTGAGGACACCTGTGCATTCCCTTCCTACTGCTGTATTCATTCTTTTCAGGTTCTTGTCGTTTTATCTCCTCCTTCTCCTATTGTGTTTTAGAAATGCTGGCTTTCAAAAAAAAAAAATGCAGACACTTGGAATGGATCCTATGCCACTTTCTAAAAATACTGTAGAATATGCCTGCAATAGAAGAGACAGCTGAAATGGCAGAGGTCAAGAGAGATGGGAAGAAGGACAAAAGAGAGGAAGATGCTGCTTGGCAAGATAAGATAGTGTTCACATGGTTCCAATTTTTATGAGTGTTTGTTTTAGCATGTTTGATAGTTTTAATAGCCTTTTCCCTTATATAACATGCTAGATAATTTTAACTTGTACTCTATAATCACTGCAGAAATGGCATCATTCCTTAAGAGTGAAGTTGCCTATAGCAACAGTTCCTTCCTTTCTGTTATGTCTCCTTCCCTTCCCACTCTCTCGAGAAGAAACTCTTGCTGCAGTAAGTAGGTATTTGGAGGTAAATGCTATTTTAAAAAATCTCTGATGTTTGTCTATGTGTTTATCTGTAATGTTGCCAGATAGCTAATGGATTCTTATGTTTTTTCAGAAACATAAGATTCTGAAGATTCTTCATTCTTATGTTCTTCATTGAAACTACACTTTTAAAATGTCTTTTCTTCTTCTTTCAGGCTTTTTGAAGTACTCTCAACCACTGTTTTTTTTAGGATTTACTGAAAAAATATATATTTCTAGGTTGTTAGTTCATAATCAATTTTTTTTCTTTGAAAGTTTTATATGTTTTGGGGTGTAAAGCAGGTTCTGTTTAAACATTCTGACTTAAAGAATTATAAATGGAACAAAAATTGGTATTTGAAGAGGGATTCATGTAAGTGCTTCTCTAGTTGTCTAAACAGACACCTTGTTTAACTAGTACTGTGCCATTTTACTGACCTAAATGTCACTAAGGGAACTGGCTCTGCTGGAGCTGCTGCCATCATCTGTCTTGTACATTTACACAGAAGAGATTCCATAATCTCATACAGACAGAAGCCTCAATTCTGATCTATCTTTGTGGTATCATTAATCTCATCTGTTGCTGATAAATCAGAAAGATTGGACAGGGTGTGGATTGGTTCATGTACAGTTTGCGTCTTTTACCTTTGTTAGAGCAGAGAAGAGGATGCAACAGTGCATCTCATCCAAAGATCGTCTCTTATTAGAAATTAGGAAGTAGAAACATTAAATGCGGCTAAAAATACCACCAAACTGAAACAAAAGCCACTAGTGCTAAAAATAGGAGTTTAACTGACATGGCAGTATAGTTCACATGGATGCCTGTAATAACCAAGAACCCAGATATGGAGCACGCCTGGGTATGCCTATGGTAGGAGCTGTGCGTCACCCCTCGGGTCATGACACACGAGCATAGACACTGCAGGGAAGGCCTGGTGCTGCGAGATAAAATAGCTGCCAAAACCCAGAGCACTCAGCTGAGGCTGGTGGCTGTAGCTGCTGACTTTCCACCTGGCCCCTGAGCACAGGGACAAGGGCTTCCCAACCAAACCTGCTTTCTCCCTGGGGCATAGCCTTGTGCAAATGCTCTGTTTAATGAAAATATCTCTGCTGTCTGCATTGCTTTTGGCTGGGAGAAGGAGGGGAATCCTTCTTGGAATGGTCAGTCCAGCATATTCTTGCATGCTTACCTAGGAATTTGGAAACGCTGCAAAATCTGTCTGTTTTGGCTCTTGCTTTTGGATGTTTTAGAGGTACTTAGGAACTCTCATTCAACTGTATAACCCTTTGAGTAGGGTTGTAGTGTAAAGAAGAAAGACAGTTTTGAGGAACCCTACAGGAAGATATGAGGAATTGAAATGCTTTGGGTTCATTCATTAAACATACGTTTATTCCAAAACTGTGTTTTCGCATGAATAGCCAGTATTTTTAAAGGATTGATCACCATTTTTTAAAAAAAAAAAAGACAAATGAACTGTGTTTGCCTACTTTGTGTTCGCAAAACTTGTCTGCACTTTTCTGGCTGGTATGAAGAGTTACAGAGGCAACTCTCCTCTAGTTGCAGATGCTGGAGGATGTAGATAAGTCCCTGGGCTTTGCAATTGCCTGTTTCAGCCTGGGATGTGTCCGTGAGTGGTTTTCACCCCATAGGCAAGACACATTTCTGCCTCCGGATCCAGCTCCCTGAAATCTCACACAAGTTGCTGCTGAGACAGAATTAAACACTGGGAACTGTGGTCCCACTATGTCCTTTCCTGAGCCTGTGTCTCCCTGGAGAGTGGCTGCCACTCACGGTCACCTCCTGCTCTGTAGAAGCTCTGCTTATGTCAAGCTATAGCAGCCAATCTCCAATTTGCATAGTTGATCATTAATTTTCTGTGAGTATAACACAATACTGTAGGATGTGAGATCTGTCAATGCCTCTTCTAGCAAGGGTGTGTTCTTGTGCTGTCGAAGGGTAGAAAGTCATTTTGGGATAAGCATTGTGAAATAATGAGTCATCTCTGATTAATGTTTGACTACAGGCAGCAGGCACTAGGACCTCTGGGACGCTCTGCATCTGCAGCACTACCCATAAGAGAAATCAGGAAATAACGCAGTCGCTCTCTCGGGGAGCATGTCCTTGAAAATGAAGCATTGCTGCTCCATATGAAAAGGGATTTATTCTCCAGGAATTCAGGGATTTGAGTCAACTGTGAGCACCCCTGAGACCTCACTGCCACTTGCATGGACGTTTCTGGGAGGTAAGTGCAAAAGTCTGTTAGAGTTGTTGAGAGTAGGTGACGTTCATTTCTGCTTTGCTGGCAGAGAGAGGTGAATGTAGTTAGTGTTGTGGTTGGTGGGGTAAACAACCAGGTGTGTTCTGCTCAACAAATGAGCTACACAGCCTTTGTCTAAGTGACCTCTTAGAGCAATGAGATGTCTGTAAAATGGGAACACTTCTCCAGCCTGTACCTCAAAGGTGCGTGCGCAATATACCCAGCTCAAGCTTCAGCGCAGAAGTGCAGGCTGCAGGCATGTGCCCCTGTCTTCTGCCGCTGCGTGATTGGGTCATGGCAGCTGTTCAGCTGGAGTCACTCTGCACTAGAAGCAAGCCTAAACTCTTCAGTTTGTGGTCAGGGAGGTTCGGAATTGAAACTTGTAGTATTTCTGTACTTCATTGTAAATATAACCAAGTAGCTGGTTAAAAGATTGTGGATTAGCTTCAGAAAAGGGAGGTGGTAGTAGACTAATGTCTCCTAGGCTTTCTGCCCATGCACCTTACTTGTGGGAACATACGTTCAGTGGTGGGAAGTACACAGACCAAACGTCTCCCAAGTATATTTGTTTTACAACAAGGTGTGTACGTGGCGTCAGAAAGAGTATGATTCACCTGCATGGTAGCTGGTGGCTGCACTGATGTACCAAAGGGTCCCCAAGTTCACCCCGCGACCCACCCGTTCAGGGTGGGTATCTGGTGGTGTAGCCCCTTTTGCCCCTGCAGTGGCTCAAACCATGTGGGCCCATCCGCAGCACGGAGCAAAGAGCTGTTGTTTCCCACCAGAAACCCAGACCTCAGTTGTGTCTGTGAGGAATGTGCAGGAGGCTGCTCTCATTGTGCCTCTGCCCCAAAGCACCTGAGAATACACCTGGCACGGGCTGCAGAACAGAACAATGTCTGTACTAGCTGAAGATGGCTCTGGAATGCAAAAATAACCTGATGGCTACTTATAGCAGCCTTCAAATGGCACTGATTGACCTTTTTTTGGTGGATCTTCAGTTTGCTCTGGATTCTGGCTGAGGGCGGGTGAAGTTGGCATTGGGAAGTCCTCCCATCCTCGCAGTGGGCTGCATTTTGCCACTTACGATGCAGAGGAATGACTGTGACTCACCCTCTGAAAGAGGAAAGGAGCAAAGGCCGTCATCCCTGCTCCTGGTCACTGAGTTAGCCCCGACACTTCTCTCAGTATCTGGGTGCTGCCTCCTACTCCTGCCTGGGCAGATTCTAGGAGCGTCAGTGCAGGAGAAGTGGAGCCGGCTCCTCCTGCAAGTGAGACCAGTGCAGGAAGGCCTGACCTCAAGGTCAGGGGTGGGCTCACACCTCTGACAGCACCATGGAGAGGAAGAAAAATGGATCCAAAGGGGTAAAGCTCAAGAAAGCAGGGGACACATCGTCCTTGTTTGAGTTTCCAAGCAACAGTAGATTTTCCCAGCTGGATTTCCCAGAGAGTGGTGCAGGTAGCATTGGGTCCCAGCCACGTGTTGCCAGGCTCTTGTGTTAGCTGAGCACCTAGAAGATCTGTGCACAAATATAATTGCATCTCCTCTCCTCGCTCCTTCCTGTTCTTCGGAAGCTGATCTGGTCTTTTTGAACTCTCAAAAGCAGAAAGAAGCACTGAGCTCCTGGGATAACTTCCTGTTTTCTGGGGCTGGGGGAAGAAGGAGCAAGGTGGGCACAGCTCAGCCTCACCTACATGGGATGTGGGTCTCATCGGATGGTGGCTTTTATAAAGCCTGAAGTATGTGATTCATGGGAATGTGTGAGAAATCTGTATCTTCCTTTAGAAATGAAAAGAAAGCACCTGCTTTGCAGTGATGGAGAGAAATTTAAACCAGCAAAACTGCCAGTACAACCTTTGGGACACTGTCTGTCTGCCTGGGACTTTTCCTGCACATGAGCAGGGGACTGGGGATCCCTCGGGGGGGTCCCTGTCACCTGAAGTGACAAATGTGCAGGAGAGGTTCCCAGAGTGATGCATGGGGGGCTTGCAAGGCTGTCTCACAGACAAAGGAAGTGACCATCTTTCCTTGTCCTGGCTTGACTCATCAACCACCCTGATCCTGGGACGGCCACTTGTTGCATCCCACATCAGTGGAGCCCCCACAGCCAGCACATCCCCCAGCCCCAGCTCTTGTGACTCTGATGACAGGGAGCTGCTGAAACAGGACGCAAGGAGGCAAGTTCCTGGTAAAACCACATCCCCACCCCATGCCCTGCAATGGCTGTCATGGCCTCACGTAGTGACAGCAGCAACGGTGGGTAGTGAAACATCTGTTTCCTACCCAACTCTGGGGCTGTGGCAGGTTTTCCTAACGCTTTGAGTTGGAACCAGGAAGGGGCCGCGGGCTTCCAGAGCCAATGCACAACCGTGAACTCACCAGGGTCTCATTTCTTTTCCCCAGGTGACGGCTGCACTGGGAGAGGACAAGGAATTGCTAATGCACTGGCAGTCCAGCCAGCATGTCCGGGGTGAGTGGAGCTGCCCTAGTGCAGGGGACAGTTCCCCAGCGTGGGTGCCTGTAGGCACAGTTCTGTACACCCCACTTAGGGGTATGAGCACAGGCTGGCAGTGGCACAAGGGAGCCACCCCAGATCTAGGGATCAAATCCCCTTTGAGCTGGCCTGATCCTCCCCCTGCTCCCTGCTCTGCTCTGCCTGGGCTTTGTGTCTAGTCTCCTTGCTCTTGTAGGACCAGCTCCCCCTGTCCCTGCTGTCCCCAGCCTGCACAAGGAGCCGATGTGCCAGCTCAAATGGTCCTTGAGGCTGGCCCTAATGGCTGCGGGAGGCAGAAGGGACACACCAGCTCACTATCCTTTTGCATATTGTCTTCTCCATTGCAGAAACACTGGGCACCAGGGACACAGTGTGTCACCAAGCACGACCACACCAAGCCCAAAGCCCAAGAGCTGGCCTTCCACAAGGGAGACGTGGTCACCATCATCGAAGCTGTGGAGGTGAACCAAAGAGGACACAGGGACACGGTGCCATGGGATGGGGGCTGGCAGGCTGTGCAGGCAGGGGAGGTGTCCTCAGTGATGTCGGGTCTCAGGCCACGCTGCCAGAGCTGGCTCCCCACAAACAGCAGGAGCCAGGGGCCGTGTGCAGGTCACTGCTTTCCTTCCCTCCCACCATCCAGCTGCAGCACTGAGCCCTGTTCCCCTTCTCTGAGGTCTTTTCCAGCCATAAAAATTGTGTGATTCTGTGATTCTTGCCTTGCCAGGGCAAAGGGTGGTACCGTGCGAAGCACAATGACACCGGGGAGGAAGGGCTGCTGGCGGCCAGCGCACTGCGCGAGCGTGGGGCCATCCGGGCGAACTCAAAGCTCAGCCTCATGCCGTGAGTACAGCCCAGTATCCTGGGGATCCCATGGGGGTCCCCTGGGGTTCCCTTGGGTGCTGGAGAGTGGCAGAGCCCCCGTGATGTGGTGAGTGGCAGGTGCCAGACTGGTGGCTCTACCCCAGAACAGTGGGGCAGTGGGGAGGCAGAGCAGACTGTGACCATGCCCTGGTGGCAGAGGAACTAACTGAGGCCACTCTCAGGCTCTGAAGGCCCCTGGTTGTGGCTATTCTGCTTGGGTGGGCCTGATGGGGAGGGTTTTTATATGGGGCTGGGTCTGTGTAGCCATGGCGGGGGGGTAGCCAGGGTTCTGCTCTCTGTCTTGCTGCCAGAGTTGTGGGGAAGCTCATCAGCAGATTCCATGGTCTTGTCTCCCCAGCTGGTTCCATGGGAAGATCTCAGGGGTGCAGGCAGTGCAGGAGCTGCAGCCGCCTGAGGACGGGCTGTTCCTGGTGCGTGAGTCCATCCGGCACCCTGGAGACTATGTGCTGTGCGTGAGCTTTGCCAAAGAGGTCATCCACTACCGCGTGATATACGAGGAGAACACGCTGAGCATCGACAACGAGCAGCGCTTCTGTAACCTCATCGACATGATTGAGGTCAGAGCCCTTCCCTGGGCACAGAAACCCACTGGGACTGAGTGCTCTGGACAAGCCAGGGCTGGGAACACTGGTGGTCAGTGTAGATCAGCCCAGCACACCGTGATGGGGCATCCCAAGCCAGAGGACCAGGATGGTTTCCTACCCAGCAAAGTCCAGACCACTCCAATCCCCTTCCTTGTACCAATACTGCCACTTGTGTAATGACACCAGGAGCCACTCTGACTGCAGACAGGTCCCCGGGCTTTGCAAGATTTGTTCCCTAACAGAGAGTCCTGCTCTTTAACTGTTGCAGCCATATTGCTCAGTTGAGCAGTATTTCTGTTTCCATTCTGCTTCTCTGCTTCTGGAAACCACCTCTCTGAGAATGCTTCATCCTCAGCCCCGCTTCTTTGAACTTACTTCTGACAAGCACCTTTGCAGACTGTTCTCATTTTGAGCCAGGCTCTAGCACATGATGCTCCTGTGGGTTTTAACGTGTTCGGAGGACAGGGAAGCTGTGTGCCCTGGGATAACAGCTACCCCCAACTCTTGAGCAGTGTCCCTTACGCCCTCCTGTTCATTACAGTGTTTCCATTGTGGCATATGGAGCAAAGCCTTGCCCAGGAAGCTAGACCAAGCCACAAGCTGTGAATAACAGTTTGTCTCTCAAACTTCAGCAAAGCAGAAGGAAGCAGTGTCTGCTCTGCACATCCTGTGGGTGTTTGGGCCTTGGTGGGGGGAGCATCAGCTTATACTGCACTAGGAGAGTTGATTCCAGGACAGCTCTGAACCTCAAGGTAGCCAGGGCCCTGGGGGATGGAGCGAAGCCTGGTTCCTCACAGAGCCATATTCTCTGGTGTAGGACACTCCTACCACAGAGCAGCAGCATCTCTATCTCTGTGTTCATCCTTCTACAGCACTACATGAAGGAGCAAGGACCTATCTGTACCAAGCTGATGAAACCCAAACCAAAATCCGGCATGAAGTCAGCCGAGGAGGAGCTGGCTAAAGGTAGGGGATGATGGACAAGGGCCCAGGTCTGTGTTTGGAGGGAGGACGTGGCATGTCCAAACTCTATGTGGCCCTGCTAATTTGTCTTTGTCCCTGTGTCCAGCTGGCTGGTTACTGAACCTACAGCACCTCTCGCTGGGAGACCGTATTGGGCAAGGCGAGTTTGGAGGTAGGTGAAGAGACAGAGCTGGATGTTCTGTCCAACCACCAAGGGGTGGACATGTGGCCAAGGAGTGTGAGTGAGGGCTGCACCCAGAATGGCAGGGGAGGGACAGTACCAATACAGACAGGGCAGCCAGAACACCTGCCCTATCTCTGTGTCCCTTCCCCTTGGCTGCTCTAGGAATGTCCCCAGTGCATCCCCACATTCTTGCTTCCCACAGATGCTCCTGAGATGTCATGCTATCTGACCCGTGGCAAGAGACAAAGCCAACAGTGAAAACAGGAGATGGCATGCAGGAAACCCTTTCCACTGTCCCCACTCAGCACCTGTCCCTGTCCTGGAGATACATTCCCACTTGGCCTCACAGGGAGGACATCCTGCCTCAGTACAGTTAATGCCGTAAAGAATGTGTGTCTCACCCTAACATGCCAATGGCCCCACTTGTGCAGGCATGAGCATCCCAAGAAATATCCACTGATGCCCTTCCTGGCCAGTCTCATCTGGGAGCAGCCAGCTTGGCCCATGGGCTCTCCCCATCCAGTAAGTACAGCACTGCGCCTCACACCCGTCGTGTCCCCTTCTCAGATGTCCTGCAGGGCGAATACATGGGGCAGAAGGTGGCTGTGAAGAACATCAAGTGTGACGTGACTGCCCAGGCTTTCCTTACTGAAACTGCTGCTATGACGTGAGTGCCCCATGTGGCGGGAGGCGGGGGCGGGGAGAAGAGGGAGGAGGGCAGGGGTAATATACAGCCTGTCCCTGCTGTCCTGGACCCCAGGGATGAGCAGAGGGTCTGGGGAGACCCCAGTGCCCACACCAGGGCATGGCTCTGGGCTTGTGCCACAGACCACAGGAAGGGTAGAGCTGTGGCCAGGTTATCTTTGAGTGGCAAAGTCCCACAGCAGGAGTAAAAGACAGACATGTGACATATGCCCCTCATCATCCCCATGACACTGAAGGCTTGTCCCAGGCACCTCTGTACTACTGTCTGTGGCATCAGTTCAGCTCCATCCTCCAGGCTCCCCCTTGACATTGGTCCCCTCATTTCAGAAAGGTCCGGCACAAGAATCTGGTGCGTTTGCTTGGCGTAATCCTGCACAACGGCCTCTATATTGTCATGGAGTTCATGAGCAAGGTGAGAGCCCCTGGCCCTGACACGGGCTGACGGCACCTCTTCTTTGCCACTAGCAGACAGCATGTGTTGTGGCTTGGATCTGGGGACAAAATCCCTGGTTTGGGGCTCAGTGGAAACTTGCCAGGCCCTGGCTCCAGCCTGACCCTTAGGGAACAGTGCCTGTTGCAAAGCCCCTCCCTCATGGAGGGGGCTGGGACAGGGAAAGTCTGTTGGGAGGTGAAATCTCCAGATTGTCCCGTTCCCCTTTATCTCATGTGTTTCTCCTTCTCTGTCAGGGGAACCTGGTGAACTTCCTACGCACTCGTGGCCGGGCAGTCATCCAGACCAGACAGCTCCTCCAGTTTGCTCTGTGAGTCAGGCTCCCCCTCCCTGCACCAGGGCAGCAACAGGGATGAGTGCTCTCCATGCCACCCCACTGGGCAGGCCTGAGAGGACACATGCTGAGCTTGTTTTGCCTTGGCTGCTGCAGGGACGTTGCCCAGGGCATGGACTACCTGGAATCCAAGAAGCTGGTGCATAGAGATCTTGCTGCCCGCAACATCCTCATCTCCGAGGAGAATGTGGCCAAAGTGAGCGACTTTGGTTTGGCGCGAGTCAATCCCAAGGGTACGGACACCACCTTGCTGCCCGTGAAGTGGTCGGCTCCGGAGGCCCTGAAACACAATGTGAGTGACAGAGCAAAGGGCTGAGTGCCCAGGATACCCTCATAAAGCAGCTTGTCCCCTTGGGCCGCTCTGCCCACACCCATTAACCTCCACCCCTCAACCTTTCACCATCCACACCATGTATACATGGGTTGCTCCATGGTGGCTTATTTCATAGCCAGCCCCACATCTCCCAAGGTTTGGGGTTTGTCTTCCCACCCAACACACATTCTTCCTCTTGCACAGTATGAGGGAGAGAGAATGAGAGCAGCTCCTGTGAGATGCTGCAGGATGGAATGTCCTGAAGGATGCAGGTTTGAGTTCAGATGCTAGGGAGGGAACAGGAAAAGGCCTAGGCCACTGCAGCAGGGAGAGAGGCAAAGGGGAGAGGTTTGAATGAGGAAGTCACTATTTTTCCCATCTTTTGCCTGGGGAGGGATGGCGGATCCAACTTAGCCTGTTTTTGGTTGGCTTCAGACTCCGTTTCCTCATGTCGCTGCAGAAATTCTCCTCTAAATCAGATGTCTGGAGCTATGGGATTCTCCTGTGGGAAGTGTTCTCCTTTGGCCGGGCACCCTATCCCAAGTTGGTGAGTTTGGTGAAGCCTTGGGCTGCCCCTGTTCTCACGAGATGGTGGTCATGGGGTGCAGGTGACACCATGGTGGTTTGGCTGCAGGACTAGCAGGAGGGATGAGACAGGACAGAGAGATTCCAGCTTCCCCAGAGGCCAGAGAGAGCCTCTGGGCAGGATAAGGAAGGGGAGCAGAAAGGGTCCCATCTCCCTTCTCCTTCCTCTCAGAGCCTGAAGGAAGTGACGGAGATGCTGGAGCAGGGATACCGCATGGATGCCCCTGAGGACTGTCCGGCCACCATCTATGCATTGATGAGGAGCTGCTGGGAGCTGGAGCCAGGGAAGCGGCCGTCCTTCAAGAAACTCACGGAGAAGCTGCAGAAGGAGCTGAAGCACTTAGGGGCTGTTTAACCTTCCCAGTGTGTACAGGGCTCTTGGCCAGTAACTCACTGGACATAGCAGGGTTGGAAACAGCACAGCAAGGAGAGCATGGCACAGCTGGGCAGCATGGTGGCCCAGGACACAGGTGTCTCCCAATAAAGATGGGACAGAAGCTTGGGGCAGCTGCTGGGAGTGGAGCAAAGGAGCTGCCATGTGCGAAGCAGGGTTGGATGCAGCCAGCCCAGCTCTGCACCCCCCATAACCACGCCGGGCTGTCTGGGGCCACCCTTTTTCTGCCCATCTCTGTCTGTGTCATCCCCCAGCATCACATGACTGTCATGAGCCATGACATGAGCCACCCTGCAGAACCATCTGTGTGTCACCTGGCTGCTTTTGTAGGGACAGTCCTGCCACCAAGCAGCTTCTCCCCGTTGTCTGGCCCTAAGCCAAGCGCTCCCATCTCCCAGGGTCCTGTTGTGCTTTCCATGTATGCAAGTAGCGCTCAGAGCTGGAGTATCGAGGGCTGGGGTATTGATGGACCTTCCAAAGCTCTGGGTGTCCCCAGATGTCTTCCGTGCGTGATGCTGGGGCAGGTGACACAGTGGCTGGCATGTGCACAAGGGTCCCTTGGGGTCACCGCTGTTTTGGAGCTCCCCTCCCTGGTGCTAGGGCCAGGACCCCCCAGCCCTCCTGCAGATTTAAACCCCCTCGCAACCCAGCCTAATGCCAAGACGGCCGGAGTTCCCCACCCGCCGCAGAGTCACCAAGCACAGCCAGCTAAACCACACGGATTTGGCTTTTTTTGATTAAACCAAAGAAATTAGTTCGACTTTATCTTTAAACCTCAGGGCAAAAATTAGGTCTATCCCTCACTGTTCGGCTGTCCAGCTCTGAACCAAGCATCCGAACCAGCAAGGACAAGGAGGAAGGTTTGCTGGGGCTGAGGGGGACCCTGAAGCTTCAGCCCCTCAAATCCTCAGCCTCGCAGCATCTCTCATCCCTAGACCACAGCTCCATGCGCGGCTGGGGATTATTCTTTTAATCAGACTTTGTATGGGAAATTGCTCGCATATAGATTACGGGGCAAGGTTCGTCCTCCCAGCCGCAGGAGCCCCGGGCCACCTCATGAGCAATCTCCGTATCCCTTTGGAGCAGGGATTACTGGGGCATGGGGGTACATTCATGTGTGTCAACCCAGCACTTTTTTCTCCCTTCCGGCCTTTCAACCCTGGATTGAGTTTTCTCAGTTCATCCTCTGGCTTCTAGCACCTTCCACCCCACCAAGCAGCAGGGGCAGCTTGGACACCCATGGACCCCAACCCGTGGCTCCTGTGGCTGGATCCAGCCCCGTGGGCGCAGGGAAAATGGAGATTTTGCCTCCTGCAGACAGAGGAGCAGCACTGGTGGCTCCAGCTAGGACTGTGTACCTGTCCCTTGCTAAGGAGAGTCCCTGATGGCTGGAGGGGGCGGTTGGCCTGGCCCCCACCCCTTGTCATCACTTCTCCATTGGCCCCAGGAAGCCCTTGGGCTCTGTGGACTCCCTGCAAGCCCCGGTGCCATCCAGCCTGAGCGTGGATGTATCCCAAGACTCACCTCTCTTTGAGGGCTCCCTTTGCACCCATGGGCTCCATCCCTTGACCCCGCTGTCCCCATAAGGCAGCGGGTGCTGCAGGGTGCTGGGTGCATGAAGTTGCCACTGCCAAGCTGCCCTGGGTGCCCAGGGCCATGCAAAACCTGTCCCCCAAGGCTGGCAGCACCCTTGGGTGCAGAGAGCAGAGCGAGAAGCTCTTCCCCACCGGTGTCCATGGCGTCCCCTCCTAATGCTTTAATCCATCGCTGATCCGCATGAGCCCCTGGGGCAGCCGCTCCCACTGACCTTGCAGTCAGTGGGTCCTGGGTAGGGACCGCCTGGCACTGCGGGGACACGGGGCGGACATCCCCATGGCCGCCTTCTTCAGCACAGCTCTGAAGAGCTTCAAGGGGGCGCAGGAGGAGCCCAAGGAGTCCCCCAAGGATGGGAAGGCAGCGGCGTTGCCCAACGGCATGGCCCGTGAGGAGTTCGAGGAGTACCAGCGGCAGCTGCTCGAAGAGAAGTAAGGATCTGTGGGGCACCGGTGTCCTCAGGGTAGGGGTGATGGTGTCAGTGGGGTCTGCTCTTTGCCGGGAAGGACTCAGTCTGGCTTTCCCCTGTCTCTCCTCATGATCCCTGGTGTGGGGAGTGTGGCAGCAAGTCCCAGGGATGGGAAGGGGCGAGGGGCAAGAATGACGTGGGCATGCAGGGGGGTGCTAGATCTCTTTTCCAGCATTCAGGTCCCACATTGCCCTGTGGCCGTGAGTGCTTGCACAGGACAGGGCCAGCAACACGACTCTGCTGCGGGTGGCAGCCTGCATGTCACTGCCCTGGAGCAGCTCCGGTGCCACTTCCCCACGTCCTGCTGACCTGCTGCATGTCAGGGACCTGCTGGCCTAGGGAAGGAGGAAGTCCCTCTGGAAAGCATCCGCCTCGAGCATCTGCATGGGGATGGAAGGGCTTCGGGCACCCACACACACCCCCAGCAGCTCAGGCAGATGAGCAGGGCGAGAGGAGACCCCTTTGCCAGAACATTGTCCCCTCTGTCTGCACACGTGAGACATCAACGCCCAGCGAGGACCACTGAGTGCCAGGGACTCAACCGCAGCTGCAATGACAGTGCCAAATTTTCCACCGCAGGATAGAGCGGGACAAGGCCTTTGCACACCGGAAAGCAGAGCGGGCCACTGTGCGCATGCACCTGCGGGACAAGTATCACCTGGCCCAGGTAAGGCCGGGCCGGGGTGTCCTCAGCAGGATGCAGCCCCTGCATCCACATGCCAGGATCTCGGCCCTGCAGAACAGCCCCCGCGCAGGAGGCTGCCAGGTGTCCCCTTGGTGTCTCGGAATGCAAGGCTGATCCTGAAGAGGGCAGCAAACGGCTGCTGTCTCCATCTGTCCTGGCGGCTGCCCGCGGTCCCAAGGCAGCACCGGACAGCGCTGGCATCGCCCCCCTTCCCAAGCATCCCACGTCCCCAGGGGCACCAGGGTTTGGCTGGTCGGCGCTGATGTCGTCTCCCGTTGCAGGACGAGCGGGACGATGCCCAGGTGCATGTGGCATGCGGCTCGGTGGAGCTGCCGGAGGAGCTGGCCACCATGGTGCAAAGTGAGGAGGAGGAGGAAGAGGGGCCGCTCGCCTTCCTGGCCAAGCTGCGCGAGGTGGATGTGCAGGCGCTAAGGGGCCGGGCGCAGGACGCAGTGGAAGAGGTGAAGGAGAAATGCTCCATGATGTAGCTGTCCGCTCCAGACCAGATCCACCCATGGGTGCTCCACAAAGCTTCTGAGGCTCCTAAATTCCCCCTAGATCCCTTGCTAACCCCCTGGGCAACAGATGTGACATAAGTATTGCAGATGTCTGGACATGCCAATGGTGGGCACGGGGCACTAGGTCCTGCTAAGGGGGTCTAGGTTTGGCCACAAGAACAGCCACCCATCACATCACACCGGTCACCAAGCATTACCCACGGCCCCTGCCGCAGCTCTGCACTCACCCAGGCACCCCAGGACCAGCATCTCAGCCGCTGCCCCCCTGGCGCAGAGAGCAGGACCCTAGGGGGCCGCTCTCGACATGAGCCTCAATAAAACCGGATTTGTTGGGAGCCGAGCATTATTTCTGCAATATCTATTGCTCTGACAGGGCATCTCTCAGGAGCCACATTGGGATGATTCCCATCAATAACCACTAATCCTGGAGTTCCTTGCTGGTCAGTACCCCAAATCCGGGCAGCAACAGAAGCTCTTTGGAGGGTGAAGGGTTATCCTGGGCATCCCAGGGCTACTTGGCAGGTGATATCTCCCCTTTTCTGTGTATTTGCTGGGGGCTTAAATGCTGCCTTGTAGCCACCCAGCCCCGGAAGGCTGGAGGCTGCTGAGATCACTAATACCTGCTTATTTTAGTGAGGTCTAATCTGCCTGAAGCGCCTGTCCCCAAGGACTAAGCTAGCTGAACCCTTGCAAAATGCACCACTGGGGCTGGCCTTGAGCAGCACCTCCCAGGCGGGGACAGGGACAGGGCTGGGGGAGTCACGCTGCGTTTGCATGAAAGAAAGGATGCAGTGAGCGGCCCCAGCATTGGGGCCTCTGGCCTCCGCACGCCAGGGCCATCTGCTCCGGAAAGGCCCGTCAGGACCTCACTCCTTAGGGCTTTGCTGGGTGCGCGGGGTCGGGGTGCCCAAATGTCACAGGTCCCAAGCCACCGGGCAGGACATTTCTTCTGGTAGGCAGCAGTATGAACACGACTATCCCACAGCCAGTGATGGAGCTGGCGAGGGACAGAGTGATGGCAAATAGGAACCATTTTGGTCTCCAGCCGAGACACTTGCTCTTGGCACGTCTGTGCTCCATGTCCGTAATCTCTTCCTACCTGGCACATGGATTTGCAGGGCTGGTGATGTATTCTTAGCCTGCAAAGCCCAGGAGGAGCAGGGAAGGGCGGGGGGGGCCAAAGTCTGGGCAGTTCCTATTCTTCCCTGCGGACCCTGCCTGGGAGATCCCTGGAGCAGCAGTTGGGAATCTGCACGGTTTTCTGGGCTGTGCGCCGAGCTCGTCAATGCCACAAGAATGACAGGCCTTAGCTTTGAGTCACCAGCTCCCAGGAGCCTCCTCGATCTGACCACTCCTGTCACCCTTCTCATCCCTGCTGTCGCAGCCATCCCAGCTTCCCTCTGTCCAGTCTTGCCACCAGCCATGAAAAATCTCCCATTTGGGGACATTCATCTGGCGCTGTTCATCGTAATGGGGCTGTATCCCCTCTGGGTCCTGGCTTGGCGCCACCAGAGCCCCATTTCCCCAACACGTTCCTGGTGCATCCCTGGTGCTCATGTGCAGGTTGCCCAGACTGATGATGCTGGCAGGGGGGGATGAGGTGGCCCAAAAGGAGCATTTTGCAGGGGACCCGCGATGGTGGTGGTGCCAGTGCTCTCAGTGCTCCCAGTGGGGCGGTGCGGGGGCTTCCAGTGCAGAGCAGCTGCATTCTGGCAGCGCCGGAGGCAGGATTCGGGTCAGGACCCTCCACCAGGTCTCCAAGCTAATCATCCTGTGCGTCCCCCCCAGCACTGTCCCCACGCTGCCACCTGCCCAACACCCTTTTGGGTCACTCCTGCCGCCTCCCCGCCTGCCCAAGGCCTCTTAATGAACTAAAAAAGTGATAAATCCCCGGGCGAGCTGGTCACGTGAGGCCGGCAGCCCCCGGGCGCCCCCAGCCCCGACCCCCGCCTCCGGCCCCCGCGCCCCGTAAGCTGACACAGCGTCTCTAAGCGTTAGCAGCTTTGCCTCCTAATAGGATTAGGGAGGTTTAAAACTGTCATTTGAGTGAACTAAACCCCCTGATACTCTGCATTGCACCTTCTTAACCAATTTGCCTTCAATTAGGGTAATTGGGAAACTAGCAAAGAAGTATAGCATTAATATTTTAAAGTGATGAAGCGATTACGGGCCTCGGCCAAGGAAGTAAATCAATTTGCTATCTGCTCCTAAAAGGCAATTATAATCATTTGTCAAATAAGCCTGCTGGCCGTCCCCCCGCCCGCGCGAGCCAACACCTTAAGGCGGTTAGTGGGGCCGGCCCTGCGCATGGCCCGCGCGCCTAAATCCAAATCCCGGCCACGGGCGGGCAGGGCAGCTGGGCCAACGGGCCCCCCAGCTCCGAAAAGTGGCCGGGATGGGCTCTCAACCAGCATGACCCCGCGGGGGGACATGGGGTGACGGTGGCAGGGTGGGGGCTGTGCAGAGGTCTTTGGGGTGAGCAGGTTCTGGGTGCTTGTCTTGCTGTTGGTGTTGAGTTAAGGGGGAACCCTATGGGATTTGGGACAAGCGGCAGAGCCTGGAGGTGCCTTCTTGCTCCTGGTGCCTGCCCATCTCATCTCTGTGCTGCCCTATGCATCTGCATGGGGTACCCGAGGGCCCCCAGGGCCACTCTTGTCCCCTGTGGTGGAGGTTGAAGACACTGAGGGTGACCAGAGCAGGGAACCTGGCTTCCACTGAGCTTTTTCCCCCCAAAATGAGCTGATTTTCACAAGCACTGACTCATGCCCAGCTGAGCACCAGTGCTGGAGTTGCCTGTTTGCACTCCCCAGCCAGTGGCAGCCTATCCCCGTGTGTCGCCCTCCACCCCAGTGATGTCCTAGTGTCCCTAAGGCAGCACGACTGGAAGGTGGGTGCTCCCCTTGCACCCTTATATGGTCCAGAGCAGTGGCAGTGCCCGCGCATCCCCACGTGCCTGCCATTCTGTCCCCCTGGGAATGTCACAACATGGTGACGCACTGGACTTGGTTCCCCGGGGAGAGCAGCTGAAAGGGGAAGCTGTGGGAGGAAGCAGAGCCGCCAGTGCTTGCAGGTGGCAGGAAGGCACTTTCAGAAGAACCTCAAAGCGCACAGAAGAGAAGGGGCAGAGGGAGAGCAAGGGCCCGCGCAATCCTCCCTGCTGGCCACTGTTCTGACAGCCACTGTCCCCACTCCTGGGAGGAGCAGGGACGGCAGTAGCTCCAGCAGCAGTGGCACCACGCAGCCCTTCGCTCTGAGCTGCCTGCAGCCCTGGCGGGACATTGGGATTGCTGCAGCCATCCTGGGGCCTGCCTGGCCTGGAAGCTCCTCTGCTTCACCCCAGGGACAGTGACAACTTGCCCCTGTCACCTGTGTCTGTCCCCACACCGTGTCCCCATGGCCAGTCCTCAGCATCAGCCCTCATGCCCAATGCCCGTGCCTGGTCCTCACATCTGGTCCCTATGTTTGGTCCCCATTCCTGGTCCTCAAGCTCAGTCTTCATGCTCAGTCCCCAGAGCTGGTCCCTATGCCAAGTCTCCATAGCTGGTCCTCATGGCCAGTCCCTATGCCTGGCCCCTACACCTTGTCCCCATGCCTGGTCCTCATACCCAGTCCTCATAGCTGGACCTCCTCACCAGTGCCCATGACTGGTCCCCTTGCCAAGTCTCCACACCTGTTTTCTATGCCTGGACTTCATGCCTGGTCCCCATGCCTGTTTCCCATGCCTGGTCTCCACACCTGGCCCCCATGCCTAGTCTTCATGTCTGATCCCCAGGCTTGGTGCTTATGCCCAGTTCCCATAGCTGGCCTGTATGCCCGGTCCCAATTTTTGGCCTCTATGCCTGGTCCTCATGGCAGGTTCTCATGACCAGTCCCCATAAATGGTCCCCATGCCTGGTCTTTGCACCTGGTCCTCAAGCCTGGTCCCCACACTTGGCTCTCCTGCCCAGTCCTCATGTCTGGTCTCTATGCCAAGTCTCCATAGCTGGTCCCCATGCCTGGTCCTCATGGCTGGTCCTCAAGCCCAATCCCCACGCCTGTTCCCCATGGCTGCTCCTTGCACCTAGTCCCTGCTTTTGGTCCCCATGCCTGGTCCTCAAGCTCAGCCCTCATGCCTGGTCCCTACACCAGGTCCCCATATCTGGTCCCCATGTGTGTCCTGATGGCTGGTCCTCATGCCCAGTCCCCATCTCTGTGAGAAGTCTCCATGCGTGGTTCCCATGTCTAGCTCCTATACCAAGTCTCCATGGTTGGTCCCCGTGGTCCCCTGGTCCCTGTCCATCCCCACACCCACAGAGGCCCAGAGTCATCCCACCACCCACTGTTCAATACTGTCCCACTTGGGGGCCACACCAGGGGACTGTCCCCACGTCTCACTAGGGCCACCCAGCACTCCAACTCATTGCACCCCCATCCCCACAGGCGCCTCTCCGCAGTACCATGGATGCTCTCCATTCCCAGGAGAAGCTTGGTGGCAAGGGAGAAGCCCAAGGAAATTGTTTCCCTCGCTGTTGCCTCCCCCTCCCACCCCTCTGCCTTTCTTCTCCTCTCTCTGTGTCTCTAATTCTTTTCCTCTCCCATAATGAGGGGATTACAAGGAAAACTCCAGCAGGACGCCTTTGTAGGGAGACAATCCCAGCAGCGAAGGCAGTTCCCGTCTTTGTCCATCCCCAGACCCCCCCGGCCCTGGCGCTGGAGGGACATTTAGAGCAATTACTTGTCCAGAAAGTAACTGTCAATCATTCTTAAAGGGGAAGGCCTCCAATTAATAACCTCGTCTTAATCCTTTGGACTCATTTCCAATCTGCAGGGCCCGGTGACATCTGCAACACTAAATAAAGATTCTCCGGAGCCTTAGCAGCGCGGTTCTGTGACAAATAAGAAGACTAGAGGGAACTTTGGCTGCCAAGCTGCAAGATTGGTGAGGTTGAGCCGCTTGTTTGGTTCCCGGGAGGCACCATCAAAGTTAAATACTCCTGGAAAGGCCAAGTTGGGCCCAGCAGGTAACACAGCCGCAGGCGGATTCGGGGAGCGCGGGTGGGAGCTGGGGACCGAGGAGCGCTGCTCCCATCGATGCTGGGAAAAACGCACTCAGAAAACCCCGTGAAAAGCAGAATCACCCATGTGCCACCCAGGTGACGAGTGATGGGCTCTGAAGGGCAATAATGTTAAATAATGTTATTTATTCGCCCCAAGCATTTGCTGCTTCCCCCCAGTCTGGACAGGGAGATGTTTTGCACCGCTTGGCTGGGTCTCTGCACTGCCTTTTTTTGCTTTTTTGTTGTTTCTTTAGAAAAAAAAAAAAAAAAAAAAAAAGGTCTAAGATCTGCTCTTCTGCTCCTTTCTAAAACTGCAGACGGGGGAAAAGTGTGTTTAAGAACAAAGCCGAACGGAGGAAAACCTGTCAGAGACTTTGTGCCTTGGCAGTTTTTCCCTTCCAGTTTAAAAGCTTAAGAGCTTAAACCCCCCAAATTGTGACCACCAAGGCCACAGGAAACTGTGGGATGCACCGGAGAGAAGGAACCAGCTCCTCCCGATGCATCATCCACTTGGAGTTGGGGAATTCTCCCTTTTTTCCCGGGAGATTGCCTAAAATGCTTCAAAAAAACATCAGTTTCATCCCTTGAGGGTGATTTTCTAAAGGCTGTGGACAAACATGTTGGCCCAGGGTAGGTAGCCCAGGAAGGGGCTGGGCTGCAGGCCTGACCCATAAGGGGGCCATACAGACCCCTATGTGTTCCTTAAGTTCCTATCTGCTGGCGGCCACAATGCGGACAGAGCCAGGGATTTCTGGCCTTCCTGAAGGCGCTGGGAAGCTGGGGATGCTCTTGCGTTTTGCAATTGCAGATGGGAAGGAAATAGGAGAAAGGGGGGGCAATGGGGACCCTCCCAGTCACCCCCACTGCCACCCACAAACAAAGAGCCCAGGAAACACGACCTTGCCAGGGGCAAGCAATAGCCATGGTTTTCCCAGAGCAGGGCCAGAGCTGCCAGACCCGGGATGCCCAGTTTCTTCTTTCCCTTTTTTATGTTATTTTTTTAATTCCCTCCAATCCCTCTTCCCGCTCCAGGGATGAGTTAGGCCCTTCCTTCTGGGTGGGATTTGGGGGCTTCCTTTGCTTTTGCCAGGTGGGTGTCCCAGGCCTAGAGCTCAAACATTGCCAGGTGCCTGGGCCCCACTGCTCCATCTCACCCCATTCCTCCCTATAGCCCTATATCCCCCCGTCAACCCATGTTGTCCCATCCCTTTCATTCCCTCCTGCTCTTCTCTCCATCCAATCCTATCCCTCCCCTTCTCTCCTTTCCAGCTGGCCCCATCCCAGGGCATCGCTGAGCGAGCAGGGACTGGGGGGCTCCCTGGGGACCAGAGGATTCTGCGAGGCCAGGGGGCTCTGCAGGGCTCTGGGGGGGACCAGGGGGCTCCGGGGGGCTCTGGGGGGCCGGGAGGCTCCGTGCGGCCCTGTGGGCACTGGGTTCACGTGGCCTCTACATTCTCTGCCTTCCCTTGCAGATGATGCTCCACGCCAATGCCAAGAGGGTGAGCAAGAGCGGCACCGGCCCCCGACCCCCTGCCCGGACACACTGCCCCCCCCAGCCCAGCCCGCATGCCCAGTGACACCAGGAGGTGACAAACCCTGCATGCACGTGCTATGTGCGCAGGCTTTGCCAATGCAGTGCCATTGTACGTGGCGCTGCACGTGGTCACACACGGACCGTGTGCATGGGCGCTGCACGAGCAAGGGCTGAGATCGCAGACCCCCTCACGCGCTGCATGCACAGACACCACGTCCACACCGTGCATTGCACACATGACCCCCCGCTCACACCGTGCACTGCACATGCAGACCCCATGCTCGTGCCATGCACTGCACACAGGCACAGCCCTCATGCTGCCCGCAAGCACAGAGCTCTTGCTGTGCACACCGAGCACTGCGCCCTGCACGAGCGCTGCGCGCTGCACACGCTGTGTGCACCCATGGACACTGCACACCAGCACTAGGCACCCACTACATGCATTACATACCCTGCACCCGCAGGCCCCATGGGCACGGCGGTGCAAGCAATGCAGCCTGTGTGTTCCACACATGTTGCATGCACAGACAGAGTGCAGGGGACCACAAAGACACCTCAGGTGCTGTGCACACCGACACTGCACCACACGCACACTGCACGCAATGCAATGCTGCACCATGCTGCTACTCCAATTTATCCCAAGGTTTCTGCCAAATTATCACAGCAGACAGGCAAGGCCACCAGCATCTGCTGCAAGCACCTTTTCCTGGGCAGAAATACTGCAGGATTATGTATTTCTGCCTGATTTTCCATGTTTGACTAGATGCCTATGGTGGAAAGGGGCCTTTAATCCCTAGCAAATACTGCCGAAAGATTGCAGATACAGGATAAAAAGCTTAAAGATGAAATGTTGCAAGGGTTGAAAACACTTATCAACCTGCAGAACCAGGTTATTAGCTGGGGGTGGGTGTGTGGTGCTCCAGACGGCTTCATCCCCACGCTCCGGGTCACATGCCAGCAGGTGACACCGATTCCTGCTAGGATTTACCTTCGGGATCAGGAATTTAGAGCCATCTACATCTTTGCATTCCCATTTTAAATGTGGGATACCAAAACAATGCTCAGGAAAGAAATGGGTTTAATAGTAGCTCCATTTTGCCTGTGGCACCTTGGTGCTTGGAAGAAGGCATTGCGGGGTGAGTCCTGAACCAAGGAAGGGAGAGGTCTAGGGAGAACCATGGGGCTGGGAGGACTCTGGGGCTGTGGGGCCGGCAGCGCAGCCCCGTGTAAATCCTCTTGGGTAACGGCACACCGGGCCGCCGTGGGATCAACATGCCAGCCGCAGAGAGGATTAGGCCTTTGCATAACAGAATAAAGAGCCCGTGTGGAGGGGCTGCACACCCCGCTCCAGAGCCGCTTGCTCCCGTCCCCCTTGGGTGGCCACAGGATTGGCTCACTTGGGTGCCCTGGGTGGGTGCTGGGCGCTCGTGGTGCTGCGCCGGCCACGCTGGGTGCAGGGGGTGCAGTGGGTGCAAGGGACACACTGGGTGCAAGAGGTGTTTTGGGTGCAAGGGGTGCGTTAGGTGCAGGGGGTTCATTGGGTCCAAGGAGTGCTTTAGGTGCAGGGGATGCACTGGTGCAAGGGATGCTCTAGGTGCAGGGGGTGCATTGGGTGCAGTGGTGCCTCGGTGTAGGGGGTCCCCGGGTCCATCAGCAGGGCCGGGCTGGATGTTGCAGCCAGCACCGAACAGAGGTTGGTGCAAAAGGAAATTTGGTCTGCAAACACCACACTCCAGCACTGCTGACCGAGGCAGCCCAGTGCATCATGCCACCTGTCCGCCACGACCCATCCGTCGCCGCTGTCCTCTCGGCAGGTGCCAGCATGTTCCTGAACAAGTGCGAGGGTGAGCTGGGTGAGCTGCGCAAGGCGGGCGACGGCGAGGCCACGCCACCAGCCACTGCCGAGGACGAGCAGCCCAAAAAGAAGCACCGCAGGAACCGCACCACCTTCACCACGTACCAGCTGCATGAGCTCGAGCGCGCCTTTGAGAAGTCCCACTACCCTGATGTCTACAGCCGCGAGGAGCTCGCCATGAAGGTCAACCTGCCCGAGGTCCGCGTGCAGGTAGGGAGGCAGAGTCCTGTGTTGGGGTAAGGTTGGGGCTGGCGATGCCACCACCTCTGCTGGGCAAGGGCTTTCTCAGCACTGAGAATGAACAGAGATGGAACCCTGATGGAGACAGAGGAGTTAGAGGCCGGAGGTGGTTTCTCTCTTCCTGAGTTGCCAGGATCATCCTTTGGCCAAGGGGACACAGGGAGGTGAGGTTGTAAAGCCCCTGATCCCTCCTGCCATGGGATGGGAAGCCACGAGGACAGGGACAGGCTGGGAGCTGCCTGTGAAGCCAGAGCAGCTCATGGTGCTCAGGTTGGACAGATGAAGGGCGGAAGGAAAATGGAAGGAAAGGGAAAGGAAATTGAAGAATGACTGGGAGAAGGACAAAGAATTGATCTCCTTACAAATGCACTGAGTCTTCTAGGCCTCAACCTCATCCCTTCTGGCATCCACCTGGGAGGTCCAACAGGGTCTCCTCCATGGAGCAATCTGAGCAACAATCAGTTTGCACCAGTGAATCCCAGTACCTGTGATCTGCCTGTGGGAGATAGCCCCCACCTCTACCCAGTGGTTGATATTTCCTGTCTATTTGCATTACGGGATGGAGGACACCTCTCCCCTTGCTTGACCTCGGCTCCACGTCCCTGTGGGCTCTGGGGATGCGGTGGCCAGCACATGTCCTGCTGGTGGCCCCATGTGGTCTTTGGGCTCCAGCTCTCTCTATTCCTTTCCCTGCAGGAGGTCGGATCCCTCAGGGATCCCCGCTAAGAGCCAGGAGTATGAAGGCGGAGCAATGTCATGACAAGTGTCATAATAGCACAGGGGACACCTGATGTAGGGGCACCCTCCAGCGAACACCCTGTATGGGCCACCCTGCATGGGGTGAGGGACAGTTCACAGAGCGGGGGACACTGTGCCTGGGCCACTGCACACAGGGCACACTGAGTACAGTGCTGCCTCCCCTATGTCACCGTCCCCGCTCTGCCTTTGCAGGTCTGGTTCCAGAACAGGAGAGCCAAGTGGCGGCGGCAGGAGAAGATGGAGGCAACTTCCATGAAGCTCCATGACACCCCCGTGCTCTCTTTCAACCGACCGCCCATGACGGCCAACGTGGGCCCCATGAGCAACTCGCTGCCGCTGGACCCGTGGCTCACATCGCCCATCGCCGGGGCCACCTCGGTACACAGCATTCCTGGGTTTATGGGTGCCCCGCAGGCACTGCAGCCACCCTATGGCCCCCACTCCTTCCTCAACGCCCCACCAGGCATGGCGCAGGGCATGGCACCCGTGGCCCCCACCGCCTACCAGTGCGGCCCCCCCTTTGTGGACAAGTACCCGCTGGAGGATGTCGACCAGCGCAGCTCCAGCATCGCCGCGCTGCGCATGAAAGCCAAGGAGCACATTCAGACCATTGACAAAACCTGGCAGCCCATTTGATGAACGTTCCCTTCCGCCCTGTGTGGCCTGACCCGGTCCCCCACCCACCCAGCCTCTGGTCCCTGCCATCTGCTGTGGGTCACCCCCAGGGTGGACCAGGCGGGTGACGTCAGGATGGCCACGCGGGACAGTGCTGAGGGCAGAGATACTGTCACCAGCAGCGACAGGGAGGCCAAAGGCTGGAGACACCCTGGCAGCCTTCCAAAGCCCCTCGGTGGAGCCTCTGGGCTCCTTGGACCGTGCTGGAGGGTGCCGAAAGCATCCGGAGCCAGAATGACGGCCCCATCTGTGGACCAGTGACACCTTCTATCCGAGTGTGTCCCCCTCCCCGGCCACCAGTAGTGAGGGAACAGCACTGATCTGGCTCAGCCCTCCTGGAGCCACTAGGAAGGGCGGGATTTTTCCCTTCCCCCTCCCTTTATTATTAATTTTCTTTTTTTTTATGCCGCAGATTTCAACAAAAAATGAATGAGAAATGCTCTAGTTTCATAGGGAATCCGGGGCAGGTGGTGGCAGTGGGGGTTATTATTTTTTTTAGCAGTGTCGGGGCCGGTAGAAGCAACGGCCCCGCGGTATCGATTGTATCCAGAGTAAAGAGCTGAGAGGATCCACCCCGCGTCTCTGCGCCGGGGCCACCGGAGCCGGAGCTCCCGGCGGGGGGGATGGTGAACCCCGGCGTCCCCCCCATGTCGCGGCGGGGGGGACGGGAATACAGAGGGCTCCAGAGCGAACCCGGCCGCGTGCCGGCCGCTCCAGGCGCCACCGTGGGCTCTACCTTGGGCCTCGAAGAGCCGGTTGACCTTGACGCGCAGCTCCTTGCGCAGGGTGTTGATCTCCTCATCCAGCTGCTCCTGGTCTGCGAGCAGGGACAGGCACAGGGGGGACCCCGCTGGGGCGGCTGGAGGGGCCCCGCTGCCATTGGGGCGGGGGATGAGGGAAAAGCCCGACGAGACACGACTGTTACGGAGCGAAATGCAACGTTGCCCCCCGTAAAATTTTCCAACTCAGCACCCAAGGACTTGCCAGCTCTGCACGGCCCCCCGCCTCCATGGGTTTCACCCCTATCTCTCACCCTGAGGAGGCGGGGACCCAAATCCCGGTGGCCTCGGGGTCGGGCAGGAGAGCCAGAATGCCACCAGGTCTGGCACGCCACTGACCCCAGTGAGACCCGGCTCCTCGTCCCTTATGTGCCCCGCCTCCCCCGTCCCCGTCCACCCCCCCGCTGGTGTTCGTCTGCTTCGTTAGTGACAATTAAACCCTTAACAAGTCATTAGACGCATAATCGATGGTCGCCCTGCTCGACAGAGCTTGGCGGGGCTGCGGCAAGAGGCGCGCGGCAGCGGTGGCAGCAGGGACATAATGCAGCAAAGGCCGCGGAAGTAATGGGGTCTGGGGCAAGCAGGGGCCGCGCTCGGGGGAGGCTGCCGCCTTCACAGGCCATAATTGGAGCGGCCGGCGCCGGACAGGGCGCCCCTCGGCCGCCAACAAAAGCCGCACAGCGCAGGGACCCCCTCCCCGCATCCCTGCCCCCATTAATTGGTGCCTAATTGGGGCCGTGGACCCCCCCGGCCCAACCCAAGGGCACAGGGTTGCACATGGGGGAGCGCAGGGATGCAGCTCCCGCCGTGCCTCTTGGCAGGTTGGGGGTTTATGCAAATTATTCAAATGAGCTAATTTGCATGGGGCAGAGCAGGGGTGGTGGCAAAGTCATACTAGGGTGGGGGAAGCCTGGCTAGGGTGACATCGGAGACGTCCCATCGCCACCATCCTCGCACAAGGCTGGAATCACTGTAACGTCAGGTCCTCCAGAGGAGCTAATTAGTGCAGTCATTAGCAGCTCCGAGATGCATCCTCTTAATGGGGGTGCCCCAATGTGACAGATAGGGCCACATGTACCCCTGTCCCAGGGACAGCCCAGCTCGGTGCAGAGACCTTCATTCTCTTCCATGGCAATAAAAGAAGTTTCTTGCTCCGGGGTATGAAGCCAAGTGTCCTGCAGCAGTCTTGTTTGCTGGTGGGGGCACCCACTCCCTTCCCAGTCCCCACAGAGCTGAGCTGTCTGCCTTGCACTTTTATTGACATTCTTCCCCATTTTGGCGCCAAGTAAGCAGCCCCCAGGCCCTTTGCAACATGCTGGCACAGACGCACGTGTCTCGTTCCTAGGCGGGGAGGGCACGCACTTGAGGAAACCCAACCCCAAATACTTTTTTTTTTTTTCCCTTGCATTCTGCCCTGGCCCAGTCCTGCCGTCAGGGTCTTACTGGGAGCTCTGGGGTGTCTGACACCTCTCCCAGCCTCAGCTGCTGGCATCGTGCACTCACAGGGCAGGAGCCTCCCCGCTCCCACCCCCTTAATCCCCTCCCTTGGGTTTTGCCCCCTAATCTGATTATTTCTCTCTATTTCTCCTAGGCCTTAAAGACCCCAGTCTCGCCCCAGCGTGGCGCCTCATGCGCCGCTGAGCTGCTGTGCTTGGGCACTCTGTCCCGCTGCACCCACAGGGACGGTCCTGTGTCCTCAGCTGCCCACCCACCTGCAGGAGCCCTGTGTCACCTATGCCATGTGGTGCTAGGGGACGCGGGGCTGCAGATGTCCCATGCACGGGGCTGACACTGGCCTGAGCGTCACCGTGGGGTGGGGGACATGCTGTCCTTCTACAGGGAGTGCACGCCGGGGGTGTCGGGGCTCGGGGTCTCCTCAGGGGTGTTCAGCCAGTGAGCACCAGTGGCCACCCAGCTTCCTGGGAGTGAGTCGGACAGGGGGCTGCCGGAGGCCTCGGAGCCCAGCGGTGAGACGGATGCATCCCGGGCAGCGTCCCCATCCCCAAGCCGCAGGTTGAGCTTGGCGATGAGTGGCTTGCCCACATTCACCATCCGCCTCTCCTCCACAAAGTCCTCCATGCCACAATACCGGTACTGCAGGCACACGGTGAACGCCAGCTCCTGCTGCAGAGCACCAGTGGCACGGAGCTTGTGGGGACAATGTGGCCCTGACACTGCCACCAGGGCTGGGACAGTGTGAGGACTGGCAGAGGACAGTGACCAGGCGGTGGCAGTGTCACTGTCTCCCAGCCCTTACCCGCAGTTTCTGCAGACCGCAGAGCCGGCTGTAGAGGCAGCAGGAGGGGACATTGTGGCTCCAGGTTGGGGACAGCGGGCTACCCACCTCCTCAGGGCTCTCCTTGTTGGTGAACTTGAGATCCGCGTCCAGCTCCTGCCGCAGACAAGGGTTGGCCGTTACAACCACTGAGGGACAATGGGGCCCTGTCCAACACCATCAGTGGACAGCCACGTGGTTCGGAAGGGAGCTCCCACCTCCGGCATGTCCGTGAGCTTGGCCTCGCACTTGGCGATCTCCTTCGGGGTGGCCACGATGCGAGTGTAGATGATCATAATGTTGGAGAACTCAGCAGCAAAGCCCAGCTGGACAGTGATGCCACAGTCGAAGCGGAGGTGTCGGCTTTCTGGCAGGACTGCAGAGACGCCAAGCGTGGGGCCAGGACCTCCAGGGATGCTCACGGAGACCTCGTGGCTCCCGGCTGCACACACTGGGGCGAGGTGGCTATGACACTCACCGTGGGCCTTGGCCCACTGCAGATTCCTGACGGAGGACTCGTCCTGGCCCTCAGCTGGCCGGATGGGGTCCGTGAGGGCCCGTCTCTCCGAGAGGTTGCTGCGCAGCTCCAGGGCTTGCCGGCCCCGCGTGATCTCCAGTGTGCCCATGTCTGCAGGGGGAGGAGACAGTTGGAGGGGCCATGAGCCTTGCCGGTTGCTCCCCCATCTCTTGCCACTCACCCTCGGCCACCTTGTCCAGCAGCACTGTGATCTTCTCATCTTCCATCAGCCAGCGCTTCAGGAAGCTCACGAAGATGCCGTTGGAGAGCTCGCCCTGGCTGAGCTCGTAAGCTTCGGCATCAGCGCAGCTGGGAGAGCAGTGAGCAGGTGCAACTTCCATCACTGGGGCCCTCCTGTCCCCATGACATTACCCAAGGAACCAACCCTTGATCCGGAGCTGCGTCCCCAGCATGAGGCTGGATCCAGACTCAAGCCCCAGAGCTGGACACATCACATCCAACAGCCAAGCCAGGATGAGGTGGGAGCCTTGGCTGGATGGTGGACACTTACAGCACTGTCAACCCAAATCCTTATGCTCCAGAGGACCCTCGCTACTGAGATTCCCTTGGACACCATCAACCCAAGCACCACTGTGAGCTTCTCCCTTCCTACTAAGAAATTTCGGGCCAAGACTTTCCCTCACCCATCCTAGAGTCAATGCTCTGACCAGAAGGGAGCCAGTATGACCTGGAGCACAGAGGATCATGTCCCACCAGCCTCAAAACAAGGCAGGACCCAAGGAAAGCTGCCTGGACTCAGGTATCCTCGGGGGATGGAGGAGACCTACGTGGCATAGCCGAAGACAATGTTGGCCGTGACTTGCAGCGCCCCGACCTGTGGGATGATGTCGTCATTGAGGTTCCTGGAAGAGACAGGCTGCTGAGACCCACACAGTGGGTGGTGAGACACCAGGGGCATCTACAGCCCCTGGATGCAGCAGGGCAGTCCCTTGCTGGCTAAAGCAAACCCCAGGACAGGCTCTCATTTGCCTCTCATTTGTCCTGCCCAGGTGCCCCCGCAGGCAGGACGCGTCACCTCTTGCGGCACATGTCGAGCAGGAAGATGTTGAGGGCTGTGTGGCGCTGCTGCATGCTCTGCAGCACACGCTGCACGCACAGGCAGTGAGCTGACGTGTAGGAACTGGGCGCGTCGATGGGCACCATGAAGCTGTTGCCGAAGTTCTCGTAGCCATGCCCGGCATAGTAAAGCAAACCTGGCAGAAGGACAAGAACCTGTTTGTTACCCTCACTCCTCTCATGTCCCCATTTTTCAGGACCTCCTTCAAAGGCCTGATGCCACCACATATCTCAGCAAACCACTCTGCGATGCCATCCCTGTTCCCATTCCATTATCATGGAAGAGTAACGTCCATCTACCCCGAGCCCTTGCCCCTACGGTATGGTTCAGGAGCCACCATACCATAGACGCCCTTGTCCAGGAGCAGGAGGAACTCGTTGACGGCCATCTGCATCTCAGCCTTGCACAGGTCCAGCAGCGAGACCACCTTGAAGTCGAGCTGCCGGAGGAGGTTGCTCAGGGCGTGCACGTCCACCATGGGTGCCTTCAGGTGCTTGTGGTGCACGTAGTGCATGTTGCCGATCAGCAGTGCCACTTTGTCGGTGGCTGGCAGGGCAGGAGAGGGACACGTGGGGGACAGAGTCAGGGAGATTCCCTTGTCCCTGCCAAAGTGACACCTTGTTCTGTCTGGTACCCCTGTACACGGCTCTCTGTTCGGGTCTCCCCAGGGTGCTACACCCAAAGCTCTGCATGCCCAAGCCCAGATGAGCAGATGAGACCCTGCAGCATGGGCAGGACAGTGACAGCCCCAGCATCACCAAACCACTTGGGATTGGTCGTTTCCTGGAAGAATTTCTTTTACCATACAGCTGGCCAGGGTTACAGTGCTCCGGAGCACCTGGAAAGACAGAACCATGGGTGACACCGCATCCTTGGGGGCTCTCCTGGAGGGGACAACCATCCGAAGATGAACCAGCAGGGCCAGAGCCTGCGCCTACCTCCATCCCCATCCGGCCAGGAGCCTCCGGAGGTGAAGAGCCGCGGGCCTGTGGTGATGCAAAGCGGGAAGTCAGGGAGTGTTGAGGGGCCGAGGGGCACTGAGGAGGCCGGTGGATTTTGGGCAGACCTCGACACTGCATGGGGATGTGCTGGAGCAATTCCGGCACTGCACTGTGCATGGTGACCGTCATGTCCCCAAGCACGGCTGGAGCCCCTCACTGAATGCAGAGCACCCAGGGGAGGCACTGGGGGAGCTTTGCAGGGACATGGGGCGAGCTCGGCCAGGCACACGGCCAGCATGTTGGAACAGGAGGGGATGGAGGTTGTCACTTCTCAGAGGGGGCTGTCACCCCGCTGGGAGCCTGCCCTGGCTGTGACCGTGCTGAGCCCTCACCGATCTCCACCTCCACCTCCCGGCTCCACACCTCGTGGAAGAGGTTGAAAACGCGGCACGAGTAGCTGCCCCTCTCAGCCGTCGTCACCAGTTTCACCTGCCAGAGCAGACAGAGCTGGGGCCCTCCGACTGCAGGGCACAGCCCAGGGTGGGCAGGGGGCTCTGCAGGGGTACCTGGAGCTGGGGCGCCCGTGCACCCTCCACAGGCTGCCGGTTCCTGAACCACTGGTACTGGGGGGGCGGATTGCCCATGGCTCTGCACTCCAGCAACAGCGTGTCCCCTTCGGCCAAGCGGCACGGCTGGGGCTGCCACAGGATCTGCAGCCCCACCATGGTCGGGCAGTAGCCACTCACTGGAGAGGAGACGAGGCACCAAATCAATCACTCGGGCACAGACGGGCACAATGGAGTCCTTGGGGTGTGCTGGGCTCCCTGGCTTGGTGCAAGGATGCTCAGCGTGTGAGGCAGAGCCTCGGGCTGAAATGCTGGGGCACGTCCATTCAGGCTCCAAACGCCACCCATGGGTGTTGGGACATGCCATGCCAGGGCTGGCCACAAGTCAGTTGGCACTAGGAGGACATAGGACGCAGCACAACCAGCTCCACCATGGCACCACCGTCCCATCAAGCCCCATGGCTGGGGCTTGGCATCAAGCAATGCCCACCGGGAAACACATGGAGACGGAGATCTCAGGACCCACCTGAGCTGGGGCTGCTGCTCCTCTCAACCTGGACGTGGGCCCACCTGGAGAAGGTGTAGTTGACCCCACAGTTGACACGGCAGATGTACCAGCCGGGCTGGCCTTGCGGGGTGCCCGTGTCAACCACTAGCTCTGGGGCTGTGGCTCCGGGCAACTAGAAGACACCAAGGAGACACCAGGGACTAAGAATTTAGACAGCTCCGGTCAGGTGCTCTATCCCACCCATCCATCCATCCTGTCAGAAGCTGGTCAAGAGAAGACTGAGGAGCCTTTCCTGTAGCTTGGGCCCAGGATCCCCGGGGGAACTTGCCCAAAGGCACTGTGTGTGCCAAGAGTGAGGTTGAGCCTGTCCCGGTGTCCCCAGCCCCGGGCGGCCTCACCTCCTGCTTCCCGCAGAACCACTGGTAACTGAGCCCTGGGGGGCCGCTCGCCCAGCACATCAGAGCCACCCGCGTCCCCTCTGCCACCGTGTGCGACTCCGGCTGCACTGTGATGCGGATTGTGTCTTGGACTGTGGGAGAGGAGAGGAGCATCTAGGCTGGCTGAGAGCTCTGCACCATCCCACGCCATCCTGTCACCTGCTGCCCCATCCCAGCTCATCCTGGGGTCGGACTTGGCCACCTTGCCTGGGACTAGATGATCCCTAGAGAACCCTTCTAATCTCAACCATTCTGTGATTCTGTAATCCTGTCCCACCCCATCCTGTCCCATCCTCTTGTACTCCATCCGATCCCAGTCATCTCATCCTATGCTATCCCATCCTGTCCCATCGTGTCCTGTCCACATGTCCTCCTTGTCCTATCTTCATCTCATCCCATCCTGCCCCATCCCATATTTTCCCATCCCATCTCACCCTGACCCATTCCAACCATCCTATCACACTCTGTCCCACCCCACCCCATCCCAATCCCACCCCGTCCCACCCCAGCGAGGGCCCCATCAGCAGG